AAACCAAAGTGATATGTAACCATTTTTACAAGATTACTTTTTTCTTCTTTTTATCTTATCTTCTCCATATTTTTTTCCTTAGCACTTTTCCTTTTCATAGTCATCTTCCCATCTTGGTTTTCCATTTGCTGCTTTTGCGTTTTACATGTTTAAAATTTTATGTACAAATGTTTAAGTCTTTGCTGGGAAGGTAGTATAGACTATAAAAAATAAATAATACATACAGTTGGTCTTTTAAAAAGAATACTTTTATTGTACAATGAGATCAGAAAATGTTTAATAAATGCTGACTTCTGCTGTTTCAGCATATTTTGTGACCAACTCAGGAAGAACCATATACTTCAGACTAAGATGAATACAAAAGGAAAGAATTATTTCAGGAACAGCTGTTGGAATAGCTACCCTCTCCAGTATGAAACGATAGTAAATAACAGCTAGTCTATGGTTTCTGTAAAATGAATACATTGTTCAGAGAAATAGGACTTGTCATTGGTGATATTCTAAGTTCACAACTGTCAATGAATTTTGTTAACATCTGCTATTCTCCACAGTTAATATTTATTATTGTTAAAAAAATTCCCAAATTAAATTTAGTAATACAATTCTTAGAAGAGAGTAAATGATTGAAGAATAATTGTGAAATGAAGGAGAGATGAATTTTTAAATGCATTTTTTAAAATGAAAAACCACAAATCTCATAGAGAAGATACTGCATTAAATCATTCTAATCTGCAACTGTCAAAAAATGCCATATTATGTTTTATAAGAATGCAACTTCTGTACTGGAGAAAAACCAAACTATTGTAATATGTGTATCATATTTCCCGGAGTGTAATATTCTTGGAATATATTAAAACTACCCTAAATATTTTGCATGACTTATACAAGAGGTTTTTCTGTAAACATGCTATATTGATTGCCATGTTAAATCAACTGTGAAATATCCATATATTTTAGTTGCCATCAAAATTCTTTGGAAGTTTATATCTTTTAAATTTCCCAGTGATTTTAGATGTACTTGTCACTGGGAAAAGCAGGCTCCCTGTCATTACTGGAAACCATTAACTAATATTCGGTCAATATAATAAATCACACTTGGGTACTTAATTTTTTTGAAGCACTTGCTATTTTTTTTTCTGTTTTTTGAACTTCTCCACTCAGTTCCTCACCCTTTGTGAGGGTGCGCAATGAGATAGATTTTATAGGGAAAGATATCTTATGGAGTTATCATAGAAATATATGAAGTAATAAAAGCCAAAATAGGGATTTGTCCTAGTCTTGGGAGCCATAAAAAGTATCTATGATAAAGCAATAGTTGGTTATAGTTATTTTAAAAAGTATAAAATTGTATTAGGCAAAATGAGGAGAACCCAATTCAAGATGTTATGAGTGTGAGATCTCATGGAAGGGTAAGATTTTTTTTTCAGACAAGAGAAGAAACAAGAGGAAAGTGACTGACTCAAGGTAGGATCTTCTTTATTTCTCATTATAACTCACTGTTTATATTTTGGATTGCAGTGCTTGGAATAGGTCTTGTTTATCCTTTCTTTTCTCTCTTCCTTGTAGCTAGTGCAGTGAGAGCCCAGAGATTATCATACATGTTGTATTAGTTTTCTATACCATGTAACACATCGTCACAAAATTAACAGCTTTTGTTCTTACATTTATGTTCTTACAGTTTCTGTGAGTCAGAGATTCAGGCATAGCTTAGATGTGTTCTCTGCAGAGGGTCTGACATGGCTACAGTCTAGATGTTGGCGAGAACTGGCTTTTTATCTGAAAGGTTGACAAGGAAAGCATCTGCTCTCCTACTCTTGTGCTGTTGGCAACATTCAATTATTGTAATGGTAGGGTTCATAACAGCAGGGTTTTTGCCAACAAGTGTAGAAAGAGAGACTAAAAAGAGTCTGCTAGCAAAATGGGGTCTTATGAAAGGATGCTTTATCATGGAAATGACATCACATAACTTTTACCATATCATTGGTTAGAAGCAAATCATAGTCCTGCCCAAATTCAGGGGGGCAACATGGAGTTGGTGGTTATACAAAAGCATTAACACCAAAAGATAGAGATCATGGGGCCATCTTAAAGTCTGTCTGTCACAGTCCTGCTTTCTGTCTTTGTGTTTTAGATGATTTTTGTTGCTGTTGTTCTCACCCGGCAATATTTGTGTCTGGATTTGTTGCCCTGGCTGTACACTAGATGTACAAATGCATTTTCATTGCCACCTGATATTTTCTGGTTTCATTTTCCTAGGTGATTATAGTATGAAATAATTTCGTGATTCACAGTGATAAGATCAGAGACTTGATTTTAATGTTTGGGTAAGCAAGAGTTGAAAGTATAGAATTCTCCCATTGAGGTATTAGATCACATTTCTTTCTGTAAATCTTTCAGTAAAGTATTTGTTTTATTAATAAAGCAACAAAACAAAACAGGACTTTTCTTGAAGCAGAAAGAAAATGATTCTATTTTTTTGTTTTGATTACCATAGTATTTCTACCTCTACACCAATGCCCAAGTTGTAGTCAGTGGTATGAGAACAGTTGTTGGACAAATGCTTGAATACATGCATGCATAAATAATAAGAGATTAGATGGATGAATCAATCTGGTTGATATGCATCCAAGTGAGAGAGCATGATATCAATGCCCGTGCTGCTCAAAAGAGTGATCATTCTGGGTTCCCAGGCTAAAGGTCATACCATTTGAAGTGTAACACCCTTGAAAGATAATCAATGTTTTCTCTGGAGCATGTGTTTAGTAAGAAATTACTAAATGCATTTTCTTTTCAGAAAGAAATGCATATGTTACATCTCTTTTGTTCTTTTCAAACAACACTTTAAAAAATTGGAAGTTATGTCCTAGCATAAAGTTGGAAATATATTACCTAAATTGAGAATAGTTCACAAGAACACTGACTTCTGTTAATTTGCCAAATGTTTTGCATATTTCTGCTTTCTTGTAGTGTTGCAAATTACTTTGGGTTCCATTTTAGAAATCTAGTTCTTATAGCCATTCAAATTGCCTTAGCTTTAAAAAATGGATTTAATAAATGTACTCCAATATAAAAATAAACATTATTAACCACAAAAAAATTATGCTCAGATACAGTGAATAACCTCTTTATTTTGTTACAATATGAAGCCATTATAAACACTTTTTCAGTTGACCACATAATTCTACTTTCTAGGACTTTTCTTTCTCATCATAATAACATGAGGGAATAGGTGTTAAAGTAATTTCACTTTTACCTTTTTTTATATTGGTAGGAAAAATATCAGCCTAAGAAGAGTGTTAATGGGATGATCTGGATCCTCCCAGGCCATAACTGATATTTGTCATTGCTTCCTAAGCAATCCTTTCCAGACTCCAGCTAGCATTTCTGCTTGTCTAAGTAGTTTGCCTATTGGCATGACCCAGACTCTCATCTGATCCAATGAAGGATCAGGGACTCTGTGACAATGGTTAAATTCTTCAGAAAAGAAGTTAAAATATTTGGGGTCCAGGATTTATATTTAGGAGCAATACTTGTGAAAGAAGGAAAAAGAAGGAGCATTAGGTAGAAGGAGAACACAATATGGGCCTGATAATGCCTTGGCCAACCGAACAGTCAGTTCTGGAGCTAATGTTACTATTGAGGTTGTCTATTGTAATGGCCAGGCCTCCATACCTGTGCCTCACTCAGTCATCCAATGAAGGCTTCCCAGGAAGAGTGTGATCCTGAGAGAAGTAACTGTATGCAGCAGAGGCCAACATTAAAGTAGTTGACAGCTACAGGCTCTCTGCTGACTATACTTCCTGGAGCTGGACAGAACATATTTTCTTAAAGGGGGAAATGGGTGTCACATCTCAATGTTTGCCGTATACTGACTCCCATATTCTTACCAGGCTATGATTGCTGTGCCACCATCTACTTGCTAAGAGAAGCTTCAGAGGGCTTCCTTCATGTAAAACATATTTTTTCCCTGATTCATTATGTAGTAGTAGCCTTACATCCTCATGATGGTCAGGGTCAATAACCCATGACCATATGTTAATTCTTACTGCTAATCTCCTGAATGAGGAGACCAAAATGTACAAGCTGTTGAAGTAAATAAAGTATTGACTGAGAAACATCAGGACATGTGGAATTGGAATTGTGACATAGGAAAGACCCAGATGATTCGAGTGCTTCAAACTCTCAAACCTGATCCATGCTGGGTAAAGCAGCGATTTTCTATCTAATGAAGCTTTTCCTGTTTTGTTTTGTTTTCAATGCATTATAATACCTGCACTAAAGTTTCCATATTTAGAATTAGAGCCAGATTTTATCATTCCCTAAATGTCTAATCACAAAATTAAGTCCAGATTCAGAAAGAGAACTGCACTAAAGTGTTGCATATGTATATGCATATAAATATGACAGCAAAATTCTAGGAATACATACTAACTCTATCAGACCAGGAAAAAAAAAAAAACACACACACATGAATCAGGCTGAATGTTAATCTCATTCACATGCCTTTTGCAACTAACTGAATGTGTTTCTAGTTATTTGCTTGTTGGGTGACTGAAACCTAGACTCAATAAGTGGCCCATTGAGGCTGAAATCCCAGAAATTCTCTGGTGCTGAGCCTGCTACATAATTTTTGAGGCCCAGTAAAAAATTAAAATGTGAGGTTCTCTTGTTCAAAAAGTAGAAAAACTGTGCTGTGAAAGGTACTAAAATATAAAACTTTTCTCTTTCTTCTGTAACCTCTATCTTGACTCTAGTTTTTTTTTTTAAATTTGCTATTTGAAACTATTAATTATTAGCACACATTTTACATTTTATATTGTGAAATTCTTGTTTTAATAAAAGTATAAGAGCATTTAACTCATGCAGAATCATCAAAATTTGTCTTTTATGGGTCATCATTCATATTAATTTCATTTTATCAGAAGAGCAAAAATGCTGCACAAGACTAACTCAACTGCATTTGTTTTACTTCTTGATACTTGTACATTCTATGCTCTATCTTAGGAATACTTATGACAGAAGGAAATAACACAAGTAAGTAAAAAAGGAGAAGGTTCCTTAGTAATTCCTGGTTTTTAGAACACCATTGCTTTCTTTCTGCATTTGAATTAAATCCCGATTTAAGCAGAAAAGACACCCTCTTAGGGCTGTCTGCACCATTGCTTACTTAATAGTATATGTAACAGCCTTACCTTGTACTTGCCTTCAGTCTCATTGAATCTCTGTGAATTGTGGGTCCCCTGGAATTCCATGGTCATGAGGCATCACAAATGCTATATGCGGACAGGGAAGCAAAGAACCGAGTATGCATATTTCACATATTTCCTTTGCTATGTGCATGCTATATTGTTCTATTGGGCAACAGAACATGAAGCCGGGTTTGGGGGCATTCTGAACACAGGTCCCTGTGTGACTACACAGATCACATATCCATGAAGCTGAGCATGTCTTGGTATAATTTAGAAAAAGAGGCTTAAAGACTGAGGATGATAGAAACATTGTCATGGTTTTTATCACACATATATGTAATATCATATATGAACTTAAATAAAGGCTAAAGAAAAGATTTCATTAAATTCTGGAAAAAATATTTGTTAGTATATTGTACAATTACAAGAATTTCTGAAAAATCACTGTAATAGATCTTTCCCATATGTTAGTGATGGAATGACAGATGCTGCCATTAGAATAAGCTTTCATGGTGGCAGAGGCTGATTAGAAGTATTTAACAAAAAATGCAAGAAGGACAGAGTTCCTATAAGAGATAACAAGGCAGACTGGTATTTAGAATGGTCTGATCTGGTGGTTTATTTGTCAACTATTTTCCAGCAATGAATTAGATGTGTACTTAACCTATGTAACCAAAACAAACAGTGACTGTGGAAAATATGAACAGGAAAAATTACAGAATTATTCCCTAAAGATGTAAAACAGGGGCTTTCAAATCAATCTTGGCTCATTATTGTGCTTTATTAGAGAAAATCAAAACCAAAATCAAATACCACCTATTAAAGGGTTTGGTACAATGATACACCTCTAAAAATAGATCCAGGGTATGAAAATGTGGGGGATAATAATGGATCCACTGAGGGGAAGGCTCTTAATAGAGAAATGCATGATATGACTTAACATATGGATATCCATTACTCCTTTCCTCTGTAAATTTTCTAGGGATGCCTGGGTGGCTTAAACAACAGAAATTTATTTTCACACTTTCTGGAGTCTAGAAATTCAGTATCAAGGTGTAGACAGAGTTGGTTTCTTCTGAGGCCACTTTCTTTGGCTTGTAGATGGCTGCCTTCTTCCTCTACATTCACATGTTCTTCCCTCTGTGCGTGTCTGTGTTCTTATCTACATTTTTCATAAGGATACCAGTCATACCAGATTAGGGCCCATTCATATGAACTCATTTTCACTTGATTGCCTCTTTATATCTATCCCATCTCTAAATAAAGTCACATTCTTGTGTACTCAGGGTTAGGACTTCAATATGAAAATTTTGAGGGGGAGACAAATCCATTCCATAATACCCATTCATAAATTCATGAACCAAAAAGATGTGGTGATACTATGTTAAGCAGGAGCTCAAGAACATATTCTCCCTTTGCCAAATCTGGTATGACTACCACCAGTGCTGAATGCCTTTCCCACCAGCATTGTTGACCAATATTGTACATGAGACATAATATCATAACCTGGGTCTCCAAGATTATGATTGCATCTAGATGTATAGTGATTTCATTCAGTCCTTTCCAAGGCAATGACTTCTCTTTCCATAGCCTATTCAATACTCAGTTACTGTACTTACTGTAGGCATACCCTTAAGGTTTTCAGTCCTCTATGGTCTGAGCCACTAAATGATATGTGATTTAGTTTTCTCTGTAGCAGGAAAACATGAGTCCAGTAACCAAGGAAGCAGTGGAGCTAGTATTTATGCCTATTATACCCCCAAAACTACTTGTAAAATGCTTATTCTCTGACCTCCAAATCTGGACTCTGCTGATTTAAGAGGTTCTGCTGGTTTAAGAAGTCTGACCCCAAATCCAATCTCTGCTGATTTAATAGGTCTTATTGATACCCAAGGGAGTAATCCTTCCACCAGGGAATATAAGAAATTTCTATTAAATTGAAAGTTAAGATTCTCACCTGTCCTTTTGGCTCTTAAGGATACAAGATAAAAAAGCAAACAGTTATACGGTATAATATTAAAGAAGAAATCTGAAGATTTCACAATTTAGAAGCGTAATTCAGTTTTATTATAATATGTGACCTACTTACCTTTCCTAACTAGACCTTGAAAGATATATTTCAAGGGGATAAAATTACAAAAATAAGTCTAGTTCAGCTGATTGTCCCTGCAAATTAGGTTATATGATTTACCTGGTTAAAATCCTGGGGAAAAAGTCACAGTATTAAAGAAAAAATCCAGCTTTATATTGAAAACATACAATGTTTTTGGGAGTTATATATGAAAGATAAGGTCAGGTTCATGAATATCTTGAATTTATAGAAGTCTAGAAAATCAAATTATATCTTTTATTTCTGAATCCAGATGATTAAATACCCAGTTGTAACTCCCCTCTACAATCATTGTGGGTACAGAAATGCATCTTCTTAGAAAAAGTCAAGTGCATGTTTAGCACTAGTAATTCAAGGGAATATGTAGAGTAGTCTGGGTAGTATCACCCATAAATTAGCAATTATTTTTGATGTTTTTGGTAGGCATGAGAATGGTAAAGGAGAGAACAAGACATGATAGGATTGGATCTGGATATCAGAGAATGAAACTACTAAAGATCACAGGCAGCTGCTTTTCCCCATTATCTGTGGTGTTGTGTTATTAAGAGAGAGAAGAGATTGATTGATCTGATCACTTGGTAATAAGATATCAACACAGGAGTAGGTCTGTCAGGTGTCTGAAGGTTTTGTGGCAATTGCAGGTGCTTTCACAAAGGGCAGGCAGGTAGTTAACTCATTTATTAAATATTCAACCCATAGCATTTTATAGATGGTTCAGAGTACATTCAAAATGCATACGCATCCAAACATGCTTAATATGTTGTGTTTGTCTGTTTAAGTGACATTCATTAAGTATTTCTTTCATTTATAGAAAAAGAATTCAAGCACTATGGAGATAAGAAAATAAAAAAAGACTTCCAATAGAAGTTTTCAGCTTCTAGTATTAATATATTGTCTTGAGCAGAAAAATTGTAGCCCCAAACCTGCATACCACACTCACCTAAATAAAAGTCCCATAAGTGTCAAAATCCAGCTTTCTCAGGAGCAGCTGAGTAAAATAATGGTGTTATTTGATTAAGTTTGTTGAAGGGTCATATGAGCCCTTTACCCTAAGTTGTATCTCAAGTTTTATGTCTAGCTACATGTTTCTTTCTCCCTAAGAGGCATTTGACTAAAAAGAACTTTCTGTATCTCATGTAATTTTCTATGATGATACCGCTTTAAGATTGGTGCGGTTGTCTATAGCATAGCTGGTTGCTCACTTAATGTGTTTTATAAATTTTTGAAAAATCTAGGTAATCTAATGGGAAAAAGGAGATATAGAGCAGCTATCTAAATTCTTATAGCTAGATAATCCATAATTATTAACAAAACTGATTCTAATAATAAACATTCTTATCTCTGCTTTTTTTCCTCCTTGTGAAAAAAATATACAGGAATAAAAAGAATACACAGTTATTTGCATCCTTTTTCTCCAAGTGAAAGCATTAAGACTAGTGATTGGATTAATAAGGAGATTATATTACTCATAACTTTTCAACTCATAATTTTTTCTAATTTTTTAATTACATCCCTATATTTTAAACAATTTAGGAAGAAAACAAGGAAAACATAATAGTTCGTAGACAATATTCAATATAGGTTTCAGAAACATAGATGTTCAAACATAACAATGTTCACTTAAAGAGGATAGGGATTATATTATTCTCATTATAATTTAAAATCTTTATAAATAATATGCAGTTCCTAATTAGCATTTAAAAGTATTGAACAGGTTCCAGGTTTAAAATTGGCATTTATTTGTGATTTATTTACTCTTATCCTCAATATTAAATGAGTGTTTAGGTTAAATAAGTGTTTTTTTTTAATCATCACATACAGAGATGTTTTCCACTGCAAAAGAATCATTAGTTAACATATTGTAGGTTTAGTATGTATTAAATTAAAGAAGGCAGAACATGTTTTCCTAATTGACTTTCCCTAATGTTTATTTCAATCATGATGTTTAAATTTCAGTTACATTGTTTTATTTCCATATATGATTGTTCAATCTATATAGATGAATATGAATGTGTAACATTATCTTAAATAGCTTGAAAAAATACACTTTGAGGAATCTGATTTTCAACCAATTTGAATAAAGTATGACTTTATATTATAGTAATTTTTCCCTGAAGAATTTAAAGTGAATACTGTTAGGTTTAATATACTACGGTTATTTCAAGTAATTAACAAAGAGGAATATTTAAATTGCTACTTTACTGCTTTGCAAAGATAGAATATCTTAAACAGTCAGATAAGCCATATTTTATAACTGACATCAGTAATACATTACCATATCATTCTCAAAAATACATTAGAATACAAATTGAAAGCAAATCACATTATGCATATTTTAAAACTCAAAGAATATACAAATGCATTTATATTATGATAAATATTGAGAAATTATTTGTAATGTGTTTTTCAAGTTTTCATTAGGTGAAAAATATTTCCTTTTCTTCAAAAAATCTTGTCAAGTTCACAGCTATAGATTTGATTCTTTAATTTTGAATACAAATCTGAAGTCTACCAAGGTAAAGTGATAATGAGAGTATAGAAATGATTTGGCACTTCTTCATCAATCCTTCTCTCTCCCACAGTTTCATTTTTCTCTTTCCCTTGAGGAACACACCATTACATTTTCTACATCCTTAACATGTAATGATCCTCCATTTTTAACCTGTTGCCAATTATCAGCCCCACAGTAGCTATCTGAACATGTGGTTAGTGCACAGATTAATGGCATTCCCCAACTGTTTTCCATTTCATTCAGCACTCAATCTAGATTCCAAAAACAGAAACAGTCTTGCATTGAATTACTCATAAATTGCTTATTAAGGTGCTAACATTACACTCTTACTGCTTCTTGACATTCCACAGGCTTTAGGAGCTATCAGGCATGGCATTTGATTATTATACTTGCTCTCCATTTTAGGTCTGCCATGGAATAGCTTCAGTGATACCTTTCTAATTGGGTTTCAGCTCCTTAAAT